GCTGCTCCGAACCACTGCAGCCGTTCTTACCTCACCTCTTCGTGCCGGTGGGACCTGCCTTTGCTGGCTCATAAAAAAGCCTCATAAAATATTAGTGTAGTGCCATGGTCTGTGTCACAGCGGAGCGCCACGCAACTAGGCATCGTGAAACAAGCTTGCTCCAAGAGGCAGCCCTGCCCGTGGCAAGCTGTTAACCTCGCAGCCGCCAGCACTAGGGAAAAGCCTTCGCCTTCAAGAAGCTGGTGGCAATATTTGGTGCTAATGGAGCTTTTTGATTTATAAGCCCCATAGAATGCCAAAAGCAGAATTTCCCAGGTAAATCATCAGGCTGTTGTGTTTGCAGGGCTTGTAAGAAACCAGAGATTTCAGCGTTATGATCCCTCCCAGAGCCATGTGTTGCATGGGAAATGGCATGCGAGTGCTTTGATTTTTTTCCTAGTTTGTTGGTTTATTCCAGCGAATTAATCCCTATCAACAACAAGTTGTAACAGAGGCTGTTTCTCAAAAGGAAGTATTTCTGCCATTCTCATCAATAAGTTTACTGTTAATCAATAGTTGAACCTCCAGGGCTAAGAAATCTGTTACTGCATCCTTGTTTCATCTTGGATTATTTCTGTCAGCTGTGGATTTAAGTTTTCAAGTGACCTTCTGTGGCAATTACTGTTATTCAATCAATGGTCTACAGCCCACAGGTGGTCCATAAAACATCAGAACGTGGTCTGTAGAGCAGTAGGAGTTCGAAACAAAAATCAGAGCAATCCTAAAGGTATACACAGTGATGGCCTGCAGTTAGCAGCAAACAGTGATGTGCCAGCTGCATACAAATCCATCTCGTAGGCGCAGGCCAGTAGGTACAGCATTGCCTGTGGATTTTTTCCCCAAAAAAGTTTCATTGGCTCTTTGTTTATCAGAGAAGCTTGACAAACGCTGCTGTAAGGGATGTATTGGATTTTTCAAGAATTTACTTTTACTGACATGACCGTTTCAACATGGGAAGGGTGTTTTTATAGTTGCAAATTGACTTTGGAGTCAGCTGATTAGGAGGCTTGATGTTGGTAATTCTCACTCCTCCTTGAGGTGTCGTGAAGAAAAGTATCTGGCACAGATGCCTGCAGATGGGCGCCTGGGTCTGCTTGTGGATGGCAGGCTGCGGCTGTTTATTGTTTTACCTGGCAAAACTGCAAAGCTCCTTTGCTGGCACCGGCAGCCCCTGGAGCGTGCTGTACGCAGCCTGCCTGGCAGCAGAGGACTCGCCTCCACGTGCACCAGCAGCGGTGACGCTCCTGTGCATCACGCTTGGGCGTGCGGTTTGCACAAGCTTTGCAAGAGAATGTCTTTACAGGTTTGCCCTGCAAGGGAGGTGTCAAGACTGCCCTTAGCAACAGTCCCAGGTAGTCATGGACTGCCTCTACGGTTTGCCAGTGGCCACCAGGACCCACTGATCACAGCGTGCCACTGTTGCCGGCGCAGGCTGCGTTCCCATCTGCTTTCCAAGCAGCAATGTGGGGGCTGTTTAGCACGCAGTCGTATTCACAAATCATCTAGTTGCCATTACTTTGTAATCACAAGGAGACATTATAGAGGTGGTGTCCTTTTCAACTTGGTCTTTGTCCCAGAGTGTTTTCTTTTTTATATAAACCAAAAAATGATTACCTTGTGGGCCTGTGATGCAATGTGCAGTATTGACAGCCTTGAGTATGCGAGGATTATGAGAAAAAAAACGAACACAGACCTATATTTCACAGTGTTGCTGTATGAAGATGTACTTTTCCCTTTGTCTTAATTTTCACCTTTTACTTGCATTCTAGTCACTACATTTTACGCTTTTCTTCGTAGTAGGAGGACTGGAAACTCTTTGCTCCCCCTCTGTTCTTTTTCTTCTTTCTTCCTTCTTTCTTATTTTATGAAAGGTGAGATTTTTACATAATCACAGGATTTCAAGAGGATGAGCTTTCTAAGCAAATAAACAGAAAACACCACTCACTTTTATCCATCTTGGATATCCACAAGTGTCTTAATAAAAATGTGAGAGCTGCCATAGCTCTGACTGTGAGACTTATTCTCTGCTGACAATTTCATTACTGAGAAGAACAAGATTTTTCACTTGAAATATAAGGGAAAAAACCTCTGAAATACTCTCTGCTGGAATTTGAATTTGGCTCGTATCTAGAAAACAGTATGAGTAAGCCCAGGATGTCTTAAGGTACTACTTGTGGCACTCCTCAAAACATTCCTGATGGGCAAGGCTGCTGAACTCTTGTATGTATATACTGCTTTGAATTAAGATCAACAAGAATCCTCAACTAAAAAATGTTAATTATATAATATAGCTGAATTTGTGAGAGGTTAATTAACCGTCACATAATTTTATGCACAAGATCTTGTTTTCTACAAGTTCAGAAGAAAAGATGCAGAATAAGCGAAGCTTTGGGGGCCATTGGGATAGCCAAATTATATAGCCTTTTCAGCCTGCTAAGTTCCTAATAAAAATAATTTTGCAGATCACATGTTTTGAAGGGTGATTCTTCACTTCACTGAGATAACTGGGGTTGTGAGAGATGATTTCAGTAAAATTGTTCCTCTTCAGAGGCAAGTGATGCCAGCAATGAAATGCACTTGCAAAGCATGTTTTAGGAATTGGGATACATGCTGTGTTTTGCATTCATGACTGGGTAGAAAATAAGGCTTATTGCATACAAGAGAATTTACCCAGGTTAGAGTTTTTTACGGTGAAATGAAATAAGCATGGTATGGTTTCAAATTATTATGCCTTAGAAATGTTCAAGGATATTTTTTATTGAACATCATTCTAATAAAACAAAAGCAGGCTGAGTTTAGTAAAACAAGAACACATTAAGTTTGAAGTTTTACAACATTTTTAACAACATTTGGGAAAAAATTGGAATGCTTGCATTTGAGTAAAAATTTAAACAGCTGCTAATTAGTCCTTTTTTTTTCCTGAGCGGAAATGAAACCCCCAGTCTCTCTAACTCATCCTTTGGCCATCAGGAATGAAATGTAGGTCTACTTTACTGGGGTTATTTCAGTTTGTGCTTGCAGTTGCATTGTGTAGGTGAATGGTGCCAGGTTTTGAACTGCAGAAGCATTAAAACTGGTACAACTTTTTGTGATGAAATTTTATACCTATAAAGCGAATGACCTCTTTGCTTTCTTTTGAGATTATTTTTCTGTGTGTTCTGTGTTTGGTTTTCATGTCTTACAAAACTGTTAGCTTCAAATTTAAATACTTAGCTGAGTTACTCAAATGTCCTGAAGGTAGCGTGAAGTCTGTGATATTTTTAGCCCAATATTACAGAGTAAGAGTGTAAAGATGAATTGAAAAACCTTCAGGTGGGATCAGAGCTTGGATGCCTGTTTTAAGGTTTGTCTTTGAAATCCTGCAGTCATTCTTCATCCATGACAGAATTTCTTTTTGTTGAGTGATAATTCTGAGTAGGGTCATTAATTTTGGCTTGCAGATGCAAACAATTAGTCAAATAGGCAAGAAAAAAAGTTAAATTATTATTGTTTGCAACATTTAACTCTGTTGGGTGCAAATGTAGTCGAAATGCTGTCTCTCCTGTGTACTGACTCAGGCTTTCATCTCTTCCTGTGTCTTGCTTGAGTTTTCTGTGACATATCTTTACTTTCCTGTTCGTCTTCCCAAGCTCTGGCGAACCTCAGTGACTTGTGACCATCTTTTTCGACTACCTTGAATGCACCAAAGGCTAAGCTGGGTTCTGTCCTTCACTGCATTGAAGGGACTGTGGGTTTGGAGAAATCATGCAGTATCTTCTGTAACATTCCCATCTACAACCTGCATTTGTAACTCCCTGTCTTTGTCCCCCCACTCTGCTAAGGTACTTCGTGCGCTGCCGTCTCCCTCCTTTCCCTGCAGAGGAGACACAGCACTTAGAAGAAAACTTGACAATCAATTTAAATAATATTGAGTAATTTATGAGGCTGAAAATCAGGAGGAGGGGCAGCAGTTCACAGCCTTAACTCAGAGTGCTGCATTCACCTCTTGGTGCCCAATGTCTCACCAAGGCTCTCTGTCCTTCCAGGTTTTCACAGGGAACAGCAATGCTGATAGTGTGGTTCACCACAAATTTCTGCACTCCGTGAAAGCCCGATTCTTGCGCTTCGTCCCTCTGAAGTGGAATGTCGGTGGGCGGATAGGACTGAGAGTTGAGGTCTTCGGCTGCTCCTATAGTAAGTGGCTACATCTTAACCCACATTTTCTCAAAGACCTTTTTGTTGATGCTGTGAGTGCTGTGGGATGGGTCCAGCATGAGTTTTATGTAACGTGAAATACATAGCCATGATTTGTTTTTTCAGTAGTTGTTCTTGCCGTTCTGCTCGGGGATGTACTGGCTCACCTGATGAAGCTTTCTGAGCCCACCACAGAGTGATTTTCTGCTTCTCGTGAGCGCAAGGCAGCCAGATGCTGCAAAGCCTCCTGCTCCACTCAAGGGTGCAGAGCTACTTGGGATCTTTTATAGGGCTTTATTTAGGAAAACTTTTTTCTTAAATAGTTAATTTTTGGTTTTAAGGTAACTTAACCACTTGTTGAGGAAAGCACTGCGGATTGTGCAGCTAGTATTTCTATTTGAGGGTGATGGCTTTATAGCACTAGAGAGCAGAGAACTTCTCTGCTGCTTTAACTGGTTTTATGTAGGTGTTTTCTTTGGCAATCATCTTCATAACACGCGGTGAAGATCCTCTAAGATACAGTCTGTGACACTTTGTCATGTGACAAATGTTGTTTCCTTGGGGGGGTTTCAGCCGCATATTTATCGTGGTGTACTGCTGCAGGTGTATGACCTATTGCCATGGAAGAGTGCAAATGTAAAGAAAAAGAACCAGTGTTGTTCCCAGGCACGAAAGAAAAAGAAGTCCACAAATGAGGAAACACAAATGTGGTATTTGTTTCTGAGGTGGCTGTGGGTTTATTTCTGAAATAATTAAGCGTGACTTGAGACACTGCTAGAGAGGTGAGATTTTGCTGGGGAAAGTTCAGGGGATTAACAGCATTTTACCAGTAAATTCAATGTGATGTGGCACAAGTCACCATCATGTGACACTACTGTACTTGTACATCTCTGCATTTAGATTAGATCCTAATTTGATTCTGCTGGGTGCAGAAAAGGGATTTAAGATAAAAAGTGGAAAACTCTCTATTTGGGAGACTTCTTAAATTCATCTAAGCAGATTCAAAGAGCATAGTGTCCTAAACCTTTCAAATTCATACTCCAAGGCTCCCGGTGGCCTCATCACTACAGTCAGGCGTTAGGACCAATTCACATGATTTCACAGGAAGATGCTTGTTATGATCTGCATGTAGATCTAAAAGCTCCATTCAGCTTTTTTTAAATGCCACTTCTCCACCTTCTTTGATGCGGACTATCATTCATTTCAGTACAGACCTGCAACAGCCTGGTCTGGATGGATAGTCACTAGGGCAAGACACCTTTCCCAGCCATGTCAGTGGATCTGGAAACTGAAACTTATAAATCAAAACCAACTGGCTGTCATGGTTTGATATGGGGGGGCAAGGTTCTGGTGGCAGGGGCTGGCCACCAGATCGGACTCCCGTCCCCCTCAGGGCTTGAGCCTCTGCGAATTGCCCTATTTATGTCAGGACAAAGGAACCGGAAAGGTGTACCTTTTGCCCAGGAGGAAGAGAAGGGAGGGGGGCACTGCCCCCGCTCCCCAGTGCCCGGCCAGGCGGCGGCCCAGGCCGGTGCCACCCATTGAGGATGGCCAGCGGAGCCGTTTGGGGAACTCGGGGAGAGCCCCGCTCCCAGGGTGCCCACTGGGCCGAGTTCACCCAGAGAGGACTGAGATCTGAGAGAAATGGCCACACCGACACCAGGTCAGTGAAGATGGAACGGGTCGAGATGTGCCGGAGCTGAGTTTCCCCTGCAACCGGTGGCAAGACGGCAGGCGGCCCCTCTGCAGCCAGGGATGGACTCGGTGGACCGGAGACCCACTCGCAGCCCGTGGAGAGCCCACATCGGAGAAGAGATGCCTGAGCCTGAGGACAGTACGCATCTAGAGTCCGTGGGATGACCCCCCATCGGAGGGGAGGTGTTTTGTTTAAAGGAGAACCCTGAGCCCGAGGACAGTTGTGAAGCATGAGCACAGGTAGAGACGCAGTTAGAGTCTGTATGACGACCCACGCCAGAGCGAGTGGCAACAACTCCCTAAGAATCTGAGACTGTGGTAAAGCCCGCACTGGTGAAATCCTATGGGGAAGGATTGCATCCTGTGGGTAGGACTCACACTGGAGAAGTTTGTGGATTTTCCTCGTGAGTAGGGGATCCACTGGAGCAAGGGAAAATGGTGTAAGGACTCCTTCTCCTTTAAGAAAGGAGCAGCAGTAACAACATGGGATGGACTGACCTGCACTCCCCCATTCCCTGTCCCCTGCGCCGCTGAGGGGAGGAGGTAGAGCCGGGAAGAAAAGGAAAGGGGGGGGGAGAGGTGTTGTTTTTAAGATCTGGCCTTGGTTTCTTTTTATCCTTTTAAGTAACTGGTTTTGCCTGTCTTTATTCTTTTAAGTAACTGTTAATAAATTGTTTTGCTTTGAGAAAGCTGAGTCTGTTTTGCCCGGGACCATGGTTGGTGGGTGCTCCCTCTGTTCTTGTCTGGACCCTCAGTTCTTTTATTCTTTTTTTATTTCCCTCTCCACTTTACTGGAGAAGGAGCGGCTGTGTGGAGTTTAGTTGCCGGATTGGCCTAAACCACGACACTGGCCTTCATGACATCATTCCAAAGCAGCTATCTCATCTATTTTCATGAGCTTTCTTCCATTAATGATGACTAAACCTCTGCTCTGAAAATTGTAGTCCAAACAGACCTGCAACAAATAGAACTGGAACTGAAGGTTGAAACTTTTGTAGATAAACGTGTTTTGGTGGTACTTCATATTAAATACTTTCATGTCAGATTGTGGCTGTATCTCCTGTGATAGGAAGAAGGCTTCAGAGTGACTTGTGGACTGAATTTCCTTGTGCTGATACCACCTAAGTCTTCATCTTTGTTCTATACCCTGTAGTTACAGGAAATAAAAATGGTTGTGCCGAATTAAGGTATGAGGTAGAAGCAAGCCAGAAAAGAAATAAAGGGATTCATAAAAGTTTTACAGATTGTTGAAATATTCATTCTGCTTATATAAAGGTGCCATTCACATTTCTCTCTGGCAAATTGCATATGCCAAGCAATACCTGTCTACAAGTTTTGCTTATATAATTTCACAGTCTTGGCTACTCCTAATCCAGGTGCTCCAGCACTGTGCGAAAGACGTATGATCATTTATAAAATGTCATCTTTACTGTTACGCTGATAGAATATCTGCAGCGGATCCTGAGCTGGTGTACACCTCCATAACTGTATTTTGTAATGTTTGACAGCATACAGTCTCATCTACCATGTTCAATTCTGACACAAGAAATACATTAATAATTTAAAAAGAGTTTTTTAAAAAAAATCAAAAAACCGTAATCACTAGAGACAGGCTGTTGGACCAGCCAGGAAGGAAACAGCTAGAAGAAGAACAAATGGCCCAAATATACACTATCTCTAAGAGATGATCCTTCAGGCAAGTGTCTGTTTTTATATGAAGGAAAGGATGTGAAGTTGGGAGTAGGAACAGCATTATAATCACCTACCTGTACCAAAGGCTTCAGCTGATACGTATTAATCTGTAAGAACCTAATTCCCAGTTATGCCCAATCCTCTTTACACTGTTGGAACGACTTAAAGGCTTCTGTAGGTAAACAAACCCAGAGTATTTGATCTTAAGTCCACTGAAGTTGTAGAAAGGATTTCCATTGGCGTTTTATCTTCAGATCCAGTCCTGAAGTAGAAGATAAAAAGACAACTTGTGCATGGAGAGCACAGATTAACCTAATCCTGCACAAATGTGTGTGTGTGTCTGCAGGGTCATTTCTGCCTCTTAGCCTGCTCATAGAAGCAGGACGAAAGTCAGATGATGCTGGACTGCTGGCTGTCCGTTCCACCTTTCAGGCAAGTGTTGCCCTAGAAGTGCAGCACCTGAACTGAAAACAGCGTTGCTCTATATTGATATCTGTGGCAGAAAACTGCAGAAGTAAAGTTTTCATTTACGGGCAAGCTAGAGATCCTTTTTGTGTGAGCGGCAGCGTTCACTAGTTGTCTGAAACAAAAGTCTGGGGACACTGACAGTTTAGGCCATCTGAATTTCACGTGCTGCTGCACATCTGTTAAAACCCTGGGACTTCTGCCAAGCATGCAGTTGAGCACCTCACCGTGATACACCAGGGCGTGCAAAATAGCCTGTGGTTCCTTGGATGGTCTGTGCTCACATCAGCTCCTCTTTAACCTTGCATATTTGAGCAGAAGATGACAGCTGTAGGAGAGGTTTGTGGCTTTGCTGCTGCTTAAGCGTTTTTGTGATGGCAAAGTTAGGTGAATGTGACTGTTGTGCCAGCGCAAGGCTCGGATCTCCCATTTTTGGAGTATGACTGTGCTGTGTAGCGTGCTCTGCTGAAGGGGTCCTAGGAGCACAGCCTTGTGCTGATTCTTGAAAAATGCAGCTTTCAATGATGACTGTTTATTAGGGGCATGTGGAAGACATCAGGTCTTGTAGGTCACCAAACACTCTACCAGGACATAGTAACAAAAAATACTGAAGAATTATATTAGAAATTAACTGCTATAGACAGTGGATGCCAACGTGGCTAACTTAACATATGATTGTGCTGTGCTGCTGAGTGCCCTCACTGTTGCCTATTGCTCCTGCTAAAGTAATTTACTACTATGAATTTATCCCAAAAACCTCTCTGTTAAACAAGAGAGCTTTATTTCTTCCTCCCGCCCCCCCTTTTTTTTAAATCTTTTTTTTTCTTTTCACCCTCTACTTAGCTGCCAGTTGACATTGTTTCTTTGGAACTCAAAAACATGTTTTTAACAGCAAAGCTGTTTCAGACACGTGAGTGTGCTTGTCCTGATCCTATACAGTTCGAAGTTCCTGTGAAACAAAGCACTCCAAGGCTGTCAAATCAGCTGGAGTTCACAGATGACACGTGCTAATTGTTGTTTACTTTCTTATACAGAAAGTATGTATTTGAATGAAAATTAATTACATTTATTTGAAATTCTTATAAAGATTCCATTTCACATCCTCAAAACTGGTACTGAAATAGGAAGGAGATGGTCTTGATCTGAAAACATATGTTGATGTTTCCTGTTCAGAAAAGGATTTATGATGAGTTAAATGAAAATTCCCGTGCAGAGGTATGTGTAAACTCTCACTGTTCCTTTGCAGCACTGGCTTCAAAAGCAGTGTGATTGTAGCAGATAACTAGAGCTGCAACAGAAGATGTGTTCAGACAAATGGCAAACCAATTGCTTTTGATGCTGGGGGCAGTGAGGGGGAATGGTTATATCTTTATACTTGGTAAAAGTCTTGTTAGCTTAGTGCAGGAAAAAAAATCTGCTGACACAATTGCTTTTATTGGATAAGATTTATAGCTGCATTGAAGATGCTGATCATATTCTATAACTGGTTAACAGCCCAAAATGCATCAGCAGAATCAGGTGTATGTGCAGTTAACAGACTGGGAAACCACAGGAGAAACAATGATAAGGTGTGAGACAGAGTATCTTCTGCTTTTGAGAACTGAGTTCTTAATTTGCAGTTCAGAACTCTGATTTCTCATCTTTTGTTGTCATTGCTTCAGGGAATATGATCAGATACTGTGCTTTTTGATTAAATGTTTTTACTGGATCTTTTTTCTCTCTCTTTTTTTTTTCTTTTTTTTTGCTTCACCTTCTTCCATCCTCTTCTTTGTCTTCCTATGAGATGGAAAAGAACACTTTGTAGAGAACCACTTAATGTCTGCTAGCTATTGACCAGTAGTGTTTGTAACCACCTGTGTAAGTTAAATACCCAAATAATTGCTTACCGAGAGACAGACATAGATTTGTGGTAGAGATGAAGCTGCATCCACATTAATCCCTTGTATTGCGTGTCTGAGAGCGATACGGAGAGAGAAGTCAGATTGCTTCAGATCCACTCAAGCCAGTAAAGCATGACTGGCCGGGAGAGACATCAGTTCAGACCAGGAACAGTCCTCTCTCCTGCAGGGGGTTAAAGCTTCCGCTTGTTGATTCAAGTGCAAGACCAAAAGTTCCTAGAGGATATTTTTGAATTTTGGAATAACTTTGCCAAGTGTTTATTTTTTCCAGAATTGCCAGGAGAACTATCTTTGTCAGAATAAATGTGTATCCTCTCTGCTGCCAGGAGCAGAGTGCTGCACAAGTAAACTCCATGCTCTCACATTGCTCCCAGCCTGATTCCTCTCAGTGTGGCTGGTGCCATAGGTTGAGCCCTGTGGTCACATGCTCTCTGTTTTTTGGGATTTTGCGTTTGGTTGGTTTTGGTTTCTCCTTTCAATTTTTCTGGTTTGGGTTTTTGTTTTTTTTTTTTTTTTTAATGCTGAATTAACCTGGTAATCTTGCTTCAACTTGCCTGTTTCCACCCAAGTCACCCTAAGTGACTTTAACATTTGGATCTGCGTTGGGAAAGGAAATTAAAATCGAATAATGTAACCAGGACCCTTGGGGCCAGAAGCTCTGCTGAATTTCAGAAAAACATGATGAATGATTTCTATTTCATGAATTCTTCACCTATGAGCAGAAATACGTATGTGTCTACAGCAGAGGCATGTCTTTGAATTGCTGGTCAGAGAAGAATAACATGAAAGAAGTGTTTTTTGCCTGATCTCACTTCTGTCGAGTTTTGTAACATTCTTCATGAGGGCAGTGTAGAAAAGTACCCAGATTGAGTCAAGTCTGTCTTCAGGGAGCGTAAGTAAACCAGCAGGCAGTGCAGAATGAAACCACATGTTGTGTTTTAGTTTACTTCTGCAGGTTTCCTGAGATTATAACATTTCTGATCCTTATTTTCTTGCTGCAAGTGGATTATGGATGTACATGGACTAAATGAACACCAAGCGAACAAGCGGGTTTTCTGGAGTGACTGTATTAGAATTGTGCTGCATCTTTCAGTTTTTAACAGGAAGCCAATGATTTGTTGTCATGCAAACTACCACTAATGACTTTTGGCTGCCAGCATTAGCATTTATTTGACACATTTCCATTTCATTAAGGGCTATTTATTGGCCAGTGTACTCTCAACCTGTAATTAGTGAAGCAGGACTTTTCAGAAACAGGTTTCCTTAGTGTTATACTCTGTAAATGTCAGTGTTAGTGCTCTTCAAGAAATTAGGTATTATGCTGTGGCTTAGTGGAGAGTCAAGAAGAAGGACTGAAGTGTGAATTCAGACTGGTTGAAGGCTTGGATCTGAAGATGAAGGAAGAAAAGGCCACTATTAACGGCAACTTTGAATCAATGCTCTCTTACAGCATATTTGGTTTTGAGAGCTAGGAGGAAAATCAACTTTTAACTGCAAAATGCACTGGAAATCAGAGACTATAACTGCTTTATAAGCTATTTCCTAACTCCTGTCTGTGTTAAAATGAAACCATTTTTATGATACTCTTGCAATTTACTTTAAACAAATTGATGTATTTAAAGTAGCCAGGGAAAATTCATAAGAACTAAATGATGAATTTAATTCCCTTTACAGAAACTGTCAGTCAAGGTGTCAATAGAAAGAAGTCAGCAATTCTGAAGGAGCTTTTTCTGAACACCTAATTCAGAAGTAAAAAAAAACCAAACAGTAGAAGTAGATGGTGCCAATACTTTTGTATACATGGTACTTCCTAAACTTGCAGCAGTTCCATGTATGATGCTAAACAGCATGCTGTAATTCTGACATCAGAGATAAGAAGGTGATCGTAGTTTATTCTGGAGTGAATTTTTCCCGGTGTTGAATTTCTTTGTAGTTTTATTCTAGTAAGAAATAATCAGTTCGCTAATGATTTGGAATGGAATCAGTTTTGGAGTGACAGAATTTCGCATTGTATTTAAATTTTGAACTCCCTGAAAGTTTATAAGCATGCCATCAAACTTTTGTACAAACTGTCATACTCACCTGCAGATGTTATCAATGTTAGTTTCCATGGTAACAGATCATAATAGGTCTGTTATTTTCTCAGCTTATAATAGTTTTTAATTGCAAACCTCTTTAAATCTTGGTCCAGTTTAAAAAAAGAGAAAAAGGGGGAAAAAACAAATCCCTGTTATTTCTGTTTTTAAAGAGGAGCAAATGAAAATAACATTAATGCTCAGAAGGAAAGAAGAACTCTCAAGGGAACTTAGGTGACTTAAGTCACCAACTTTAATCACAATGCAGTTGCTGACCTGGAAGTCTTGATTGTTTTGCAAATGGATCTTTCAGTTATTTTTCAGAAGAAAATGGAAAACTGATAACTTTGGATTGTCATTAAAACATGTGGTTTGCAAACAAAGATAGTCTATGCTCCTTCTTCTTGGTTACTATGAAGATATTCTTTGTCTTTACGCATGTACCCTAGTAGTTATGTAGCTTAATAAACCCTTGTTCGGAGTCCTTATTGTCTGGTTCTGGTATTCTTATTTTTTAATATTTTTCTTAACAACAGGAAATGCCAATTGATAGATTAATTATTTACACATAGATATTTTACCCATAATTTGTGCCAAATTGGGTAGGAACTGGAATTGAGTTTACATCTGTTGGTTGCAATGTATTAGTTAAAAGTATTTAAAGCTACCAGAAATGTTCTGGTATTATATGTTTGTGTGTGGTTTGTTTTGGTTGGGCGTGTTTTTTTTTTTAAGTTTATTAAAAATACATTTTATTTAAAATAACACTTTATAAAGCAAAGAGCGCACTGCAGGCTGCTACTGCCAAAGGAAATATTAATTGCTATTGAAGAATTGAGAGCTTGTTTCCCATCACAGTGATTGGGTTTTAGAGGCTGGCTGAAGGGGAAAATATGTTTCTAATAGGATTTTCAAAGGTGTATAATCAGTTTAGATGCCCAGTTCCCATGAAATCCTTTCAAAAGCTTTTTGAATTGATATTTGACTATTCCTGCCAGCCTAGTCAATTTGCATGCAGAAACATGGTTGATAAATGCCCATCATAAACAAGCAACTAACCCTCAGAGGCTAAGATGATGCTTATTTGGATGCAAAAGTGAATGCAGGCATGGCTGACACACAGAAACAGCTAAACAGATGCTTGTGAAGCTACAAAAAGTGGATTGAGAACTGAAGTGTTCAAAGTAATGAATAACGTCCTGCGTATGTTTATGAGACAAACAGCAAAGGTGGCGAGGGATGCTCTGGAGATCTGAATATGATGGAAGGCACCTATTCTGTTCTAAAAAGTTGAGTGAAAAAGCACTCTTGCACGAGAGAGAGTAGGACAAGGGCAGAGGAATTCTACTTTTATCCTAGCGTTCCCTTTCCCCAGACAGAGGGAGAGGATTGGAAATGGGTGAAATGTGGTTGCCCAGGTACCCAGTACGTCCTGTGGATGTACACTTCTGAGAATAGCTGGCTCCAAGTAATTTTTTTAAAAGATTCCGAAAATGTATGATCCCTCTCCTGATGCTGCCCCTCTTCATTTTGTCATCTTCTTTCTCTCAGAGTCGGATATCGCAGACTTTGATGGCAGAAGTTCACTCCTCTACAGGTTCAACCAGAAGCTTATGAGCACGTTCAAAGACGTGGTTTCCTTGAAGTTCAAGAGCATGCAGGGGGATGGAGTCTTATTTCATGGAGAAGGACAGCGTGGAGACTACATTACGTTGGAACTGCAGAAAGGGAAGCTCTCCTTGCATATCAACCTGGGTAAGGGTAGTTAGGATTATTGTTTCGCATATTACTGTAATGAGGATTTCTTGGTTTGTTTTTATAAATTTACTGTTTATATCAGGCAGTGTCTAGAAACTCCAGCTGAGATCAACAAAACATGCTGTGTGCCTCACACAGCTCACAGCTTAAATACTGTTTAGACGAGGTGGGAGGAAAAGCAAAAGAAAATAGACTTGACTGATGTCATGCAGGACATAACAGCTGAGGCAAGAAGAGACCTCGGCTCTTCTAACTAGTGCTGACCAAGGCTGAGCTGCTCAATGACTACTTTTGAAGTTTTGACCTTTGCTTGATGATGCTTTCAAGCAGTGATTTAAAAAAAAAATAAAAAAAGTTCTGTTTCTTACGCTTCCTCCTTTTTTATTTTTAGGGATAGCATTCCTAGGAAGTTTTATTTGGAATGCAAAAGCTTTATTTTTGATTTGTGTCTTACTTTTTCCATTCTGTGATCAGAACCGAACTGAGAATACAGAATTTAAATTAAAACATTCTGGTCAAAACATTTTGCATACTGGTATTACTTTGCTTCTAGAGATGGTTGCAGTTGAAAACTGTGAATACCGGGAAGGCCATCACTGTGTGATCATGTTGGATCAGAGGGACAGATGAAAAGCTGACTTAATTTCTTTCTGTAGGATACTTGCTTTTTTCTGGTGAATGCACTAAAGCGCTTCAATAATGCTCCTGCCATTATTTTACAATAAGACTCTCTCAGTCTTGTTGTGAAATCTCCAGTAGCTTCGTCTGGGTTGACCCATGGTACTGGCCTCAGCAGTCCCTGCTGAGTCACATTTCTCATACTGAGGGGTTTGAGTTGGGCAGAAGTTTCCATGCCTGCATTGCTGCACTTTGGTCAGCACGGGAGTTGCAGTGATCCTGTATGGATATTGAACTTGGTCTGAAAGCCTCAGTAGCCCATCCACATGGAAAGCTGAAACAAAACCCCTCCCTCTGTAAACCATGAGGGTGGGGGTAAGGAGGGGAGGGAATTAAGGTCCAAGTTTTTCACTGCCACTCTCAATCTTAATAACTGATGAATAAAGTAATCTGAGCCTTTTGCAGTTTATGTACGTGGTGCTTAGACTGCCAAGGTCGGTTTTAATAACGGTCGGAAATATAGCATCTAGTAATGTATAGTATTAGCAGGGGCAGATCTCAGACTGACAATTCCAGGACACTTTAAGAAGTTTGTCTAGAACAGATAAAGTAGGCAACGATGCAGTATCTCAGTCCCCTGTTTATGACTTGGAGAATTTAAAAAAAAATTATAAAATGGTGGGAGAAAACTGGAGGTACTAAACCAGAATTCGTAGATAATTCTTTCTGCATCTTTCCCCTCATGCTTAATTGTGTTTGCTTGACATATCAGTAACAATTTTCCACAGCTCTTCGGTTTCATTTTTACATAAACTTGTTAGTTTTTTAGTCTCCATTTAGGATTTTCTTTCTTTCTTTCTTTTTACTTATTTAATTCATCAAAGAGGAGAAATGATAATGTAGCATTTTTCTGGTTTGGTATTTGGATGTTACTCAGACCAAGTACCTACATCCCAAGCATCTGAATGTGGGATTCTTTGACTCCGTTGATTTGTGCTCCTCTTACAAATGTCTCATACTAGTGTAAGAACATAGTATAGTTAAATATATTATGTTTCTTCTTCCAGAGGAGATGCTGTTGTGAATACAAAGTCTGAGATGAGGTTTTGTTTCTTTCAGCAGTAGCCACAAATGTACGAATTTTAGCCATTTCAAGTCCTCTGTGTGCATTCATATGTCATGGCCAAGGGTTTTTATATCTGCTCTTGAATCTGCTTGCATCTTGCCTGACAGTTTTGAAGCGTGTGTTCTCTCTGTTCTGCTGCAATATAAAAAAGGACACACGCTCCCTTTAAATGAGAGTCTCTGAAGTGTTCAGATTTGTAACCAGCTGGAAAGCAGAAGAGTGCTTGAAATCACTGGAGTTAGGGCCCGAATGTTTTTATGACTCTTGAGCTAAACTTTTGGAGATCTAGGCCAGGTCTAAGAATCTTTTCGAGCTGAACAAAACACTTGCGTTCATGTTGCTTCACTGACTTGTGGCTTTTTTTCCTCCGAAAATAGACAGGTGCGATTTTCTTGTTACCATACAAGAAGCAGGTAGTCGAAACGGAAGTGTCAGGAGTGGTCTGTCAATGTGAATAGACAGGAGATTTTGGCACAACCTGAAGAGAGCTCTTAAAAAACACCAGGGCCTGGAAGGCATAGCAGAATCAAGGGCAGAGCGACAATGCCCTGTGTGCTGCAACGTGTGGATGCAGCATTGGGAAAAGCTCCTGGTTTATCGCAAGGACTTCAGGGGAAAAAAAATTTGTGGTGTATGCTCATATACATGCATATATGGACAAGAGGCCCAAAGAATCTAAGGCAAGCTTTGACAAGGGTCTGTTTCTGATGGGCCAAGCTCCGGTTTGCATCTAGGAGCATTACTCTGTGCTCCCCTTGTGTCCCCGTGCTTCAGTTAAGGACCTGGAGGTAATTCTGGTGTCTTCTGCCTGTCTCTGCCACTCCAGGGGACTCCAACCTGCACTTCAGTAACAGCCACACATCCGTCACCCTGGGCAGCCTCCTGGATGACCAGCACTGGCACTCGGTTCTCATAGAGCGATTCAACAAGCAAGTGAACTTCACGGTGGACAAGCATACCCAGCACTTCCGAACGAAGGGGGATTCAGATCATCTGGATATTGATTATGAGGTGTGTGAAGCCCTTGAGGTTATAACCTGGGAGATGAGGCTGAACTGGTCTAAAATGAATGAGATGGAAAATGACTACCTTATGAAATGTTTCTTTCCAGCAAAGATCTTCTCTTTATTTAATATTTCCTTCTCAGACATCTCCTTTCATAGTTAACAAACATAGACTACATCAGTGAAACTCTGTATATGACAGTCTCATAAAATGGCCAGACTCTGGGCAGGTATGCATTGGATTATGCTTACACTTCAAAGTATGGCAGACTTTGAGCTAAACTGAAAGGTATAGCCTGGGGAGCAACTACCCTTATCTGTAGGGAGAGGTGCTGTGTTATCATCTCCAGCATGATTTTAATGGGATCATTGTGCACCATCCCTGTATTTGATTTAACGTGATCATGGGTATACAAGCTCTGAGTTGTGCCTCTATCCAGCCACCACTTGCTCAGATTACAGCCCTCCACATAGAGATGAGCAGGTAAAGACCATTATCTTCTCACTAGGAATGGAAGACACATTGGTGACTGTCAAGACAACTAGCTCTGACCCAGGTCCCTTCACATCCGCATCCTGGTCTAGGGAGTCAAGTAGCTCAGCCAAGGAAGGACTGAGCAGAGGAAACAACCTTCCTGTCCGTAAAACCTGAGGCTGGTGTGTTCTGTGATGAAGCCAAGATGTGGCAGAGTGCAGTTTATATCACTGCAGCAGTACAGTTCTTATGGCTGATAGTAAAAAATACCTTAAAAACCTTTTATATCATCGTATGCAAGGCAGTTCCTCATCTGTCCCCCCCACCAATGCAAACCTGCGTGCAAATTATCCGTGTTCATTTCTATCACCATGCGCTTGTCTACCAAGTTTTGCTAGCCCATGAGGCACAGGGTCATGCTTGCACAGTCAGAGCCATCACCGTGTCTGGATGTGTTGAGCTGGCATGGTTCACTGCTTAAGGGACCATGAGTTTCCTCTTTGCACTTTGGATTCATTCCTCTGGAAAGGATCAATTCCCAGCACACCCAAGGGACAAAAGCAGACAGCTTGGCAGTGGCAGGTGCCTGCTCTCTACTCCTCTCATGTTCCAGCTGAAATTCCCTTCTTTGCATTTCACAAAGCAGAGTGGACAGAGTGGTACCTGTGCCCTGGCCCTGCTGTACCGAATCACGAGCACAGTTTGTAGGGACAGCACATTTGAGCAGTGAGATTCTGGAACAGCTTCAGACTGAACGACCAAAGGCCAAAGCTGTAACTACTTCTAAGATAGAGTTGAGAAAAGCCAAACAATTGAGCCATCAGCTTTCCTAATTACAATGTAATAAAATTCCTTGTTTCCTGCTACATGGTTGATGCCAATTAGGGAAAACGCAGGCTCCAATGTAATTTGCAGAATGTTTTTCCAGATGTTCCAGAACAGAGAACATGGTAGAGAAGATCTTCAGCTGGTGTAAATCAGTGTCATGACTGACCTCTGTGGCAGTCAGTCCTGGCCCCTGGTGCTTAGTTTTTCACATAATGTGCTTTCTTTCCTTTTGCACTGAGACAATCTTTCAGTCAAACGTTGCAGCAATGCAATCTACTGAAAGTTCATCTCAGCACACTTTAGGGATTAAAGGCCTTACTGAGGGTAATGAAAACATTAGTTTGGTAATTAAAATTATTACCAATCACAAAGGAAACCATTTTCTTAATAATGCAGTGGTATAATTGGTATTGATTTTTCTTCTAGTTTTGAAACCCCAAGCAGGAGACTTAAAGAATAGAACATGAGAGAGGGAAAGTCTGGTGTTTTAAGGAAGAGCTAATGATTCTCACTGGAAAACAGTACTGCTACCACATAAGCCCTCATGCCAATAACAAACCTGCAAGTGATGTAAAGTAGCAGTCTGTTCACTCTTTATTTCTCCAAAGTGATCAATTAATACAACTGAGGTGCAAGTTCATTAAGGACTTGTTTTCAAAGAAGTGCTTTCGAGGCTATCCAGGGAGGTTTCGTTTGCTTATGTATCCCAGCTTGTTAGGTGGAGTGAGAGGAAAAATAACCCCCTAGTTTCCCCTTATTTTTGTAATAATGAGCTGAGACGAGCCGTTAGGAGTCGTGACAGAGGAAGAAGGCTGACCGGGTTCCAGCAGCCGTCAGTGCGTGCCCGTGGTGCAGTGGGTGCAGCGGCACTGCAGCACAGCTCCCGCTGCGCTGGAACCACCGTGAGGTGTGGTGGCTGCAGGATCCCCACCTGCACTACATCACTGACGATGCTGCTGGCTGCCACGGGGGATAACGGAACAAAAACCCAGCAGTACCACCAGTGAGACTTTGCCAAAAAGGCCAGTGAAGCTAACTAGAAATGAGCTTTGTCATCTGAAAAATGAAAACAGGGTTGTCAGAAGTTTTTTGGGTTGTGGAGTTTGATTTTTGTGTGGTTTGGGTTTTTTGTTGTTTTGTTTTGGTTTGGTTTTGTTTTGTTTTTCATTTTTGTGTGTGCTTGATTTTCTTCAGGAGTCTGAAGTAATTGTGCTCCAAGGATTTTGGAAGATTTATTTTCTTAGGTTTTTTGTCCTCCCATAGCTTTCAGCCCTCCCAATAAGTGATGAGCTGTGGTCTGCACAATACCAATGTCATTCAGTATTTAGACAACGACACAGCAGATGTTCTGTTTAAACATGTAACCTGCAGAACTTCTCCGTGACACTGCTCAGTCCTAAATACCATGTGCAAGTAGTGTAAAGACCAAACTACAGTGAAACAGGGAAAACGATCTCAAGGTGCAAATGGGGTAGTTTGTGTGATACTACCCTCCACTGGTTGAAACCAGAACTGTTGAGATACATGCTTGGTGGAAAGGAGTGACTCCAACTGGCAGGCAAACTCAGTGCTCTGTGGTCAGGAAGGGTTTATTCCCCCATTGCACGGTGGTTCCTGGCTACTGTGGTTGTCTGCTGCTGGGTGGCATCTCCAGGCCAGCGGGTCTGTGGACTGAAGATCATTTGAGCATCACCTGATGCGTTGGATGTTTCTTGGTGGGAAGCTGGTGATGCCAGGTTGGTGAAGTGCTTTTACAAGGCACGTAAAAGCTGTTTCCAAATTAGTGAGCTGTCTGCAGCAGTAGTGTTTCTCTGCCAGCTCTAATGCTACACAGCCTGTAGTTCCCCTGTTGAGCAACCAGGCCTTGCTTCATGCTCCGAGATGATGCTGGTAATGTGACTTGGTTCTTAGATAATATTCCATCTGCTGCACAGAGTGGGGCTCTGCCCTCTTGTTTTCAGGGTGATAACTAAATACTGTTCTTATTCTTTCCAAAAGCTCAGTTTCGGAGGGATTCCTGTCCCAGGGAAACCAGGAACCTTTCAGAGGAAAAATTTCCATGGGTGCATTGAGAACCTTTATTACAACGGAGTCAATATAATTGACCTGGCAAAAAGGCGCAAACCTCAGATCTATACTGTGGTAAGAGACAATAACGTACGCTTTCCTTCTTCACTTTCGTGCTGTTGGTGCTGCTGGCTGCACTGAATGAATGGAGTTGAGATTTAGATAGCTATGGGCATAATTAGCTTGTCAAAATAACATTGCTGAGGCTAATACCAGCCAGTGCTGACTGCTGTGGTGAGAGTTACTCAAAGACATTTGTGGAAATTAATACATTTCTCTGACTTTCCAGGTGTATTCAAATTTGTTTGGATAAACTCTTTAATTCCTTTCCAAGACTAAAATGTGTGGTTTTGATGGCATGATAGAAGTCATAGAGACTTTTTTCTGGGTAACTTAGATAAAAACATAGAATCATAGAATTGTTTAGATTGGAAAGGACCTTTAAGACTATCAAGTCCAACCGTTAACGTAGCACTGCCAAGTCCACCACAAAACCATGTCCCCAAACACCACATCTATCCATCTATTAAATACATCCATGGATGGTGACTCAGCCATCTCCCTGGACAGCTTCTTCAAGTGCTTGACAACCCTTTTTGTGAAGAAATTTTTCCTCGTATCCAGTCTAAACCTTCCCTAGCATAACTTGAGGCCATTTCCTCTTGTCCTGTCGCTTGTTACTTGGGAGAAGAGATCAACATCCACCTCGCTACAACCTCCTTTTAGGTAGTTGTAGAGAGCAATAAGGTCTCCCCTCAGCCTCCTTTTCTGCAGGCTAAACAACCCCAGTTCCCTTAGTCGCTCCTCATAAGACTTGTACCCCAAATCCTTCACTAGCATCGTTGCCCTTCTTCGAACACACTCCAGCACCTCGATATCTTTCTTGTAGTGAGGAGTCCAAAACTGAACACAGTATTTGAGGTGTGGCCTCACCAGTGCTGAGTACAGGGGAACGATCACTTCCCTAGTCCTGCTGGTCACACTATGTCTGATGCTATTTTCTGATTTCCTTTGGGCCTACCATCCAGCCAGTTTTTTACCCAGCGAAGATTATGACCATCCAAGCCATGAGCAGCCAGTTTCTTCAGGAGAATGCTGCGGGAAATGGTGTCAACGGCTTTGTTGAAATCTAGGTGGACAATATCCACAGCCTTTCCCGCATCCACTAAGCAGGTCACCTTGTCGTAGAAGACCAGCTTGCTCAAGCAGGACCTGCATTTCACAAACCCATGCTAAGTGAGCCTGGTCACTTGATTGTCCTGTACATGCTGCGTTATGACATTCAAGATGATCTGCTCTGTACCTTCCTCAGCACTGAGGTCAGACTGATGGGCCCGTAGTTCCCTGGATCCTCCTTCTGGCCCTTTTCATAGATGAGTGTCATGTTTGCTAACTTCAAGTCAACTGGGACCTCTCCAGTTAGTCAGGACTGCAGATAAATGGTGGAAAGTGGCTTGGTGAGCACTTCTGCCGGCTCCCTCAGTACCCTTGAGTGAATTCCGTCCAGCCCCATAGGCTTGTGTGTGTCTAAGTAGTGTAGCAGGTCGCTAACCATTTCCCTTGGATCATAGAGGTTCATTCTGCTCCCTGTCCCTGTCTTCGAGCTCCAGGGGCTGAGTACCTGGAGGACAACTGGTCTTACTATTAAAGACAGAGGCAAAGAAGGCATTAAGTATCTCAGCCTTTTCCTCATCCTTTGTCACTAAGTTTCCCCTTGCATCCAGTAAAGAATTCGATGATTCTGAACCATTCCCCATCACTGTTGTGGAGTACAGTAGTAGCAAAATTTCATTTTGCTATTTGAGTTGGTGTTACAGAGAAGCATAAATGTTTGTTTTATTATTGGAAATCTTTTCCTTTGTGCGGTCTCTTAAATTCAGTGTATTGACAGTTCTGAGAACCGTTGACCCGGTACTAGTGTCTCTCAATGTTCCACCCTATGTACTCACTGAAATTGAGGAAAACCCTATCCTACTTTCCCTTCCATTACCTTCCACTAATAGGAATTGGAGTTGTGTTTTTATTTAGCAGAGCAAACTCTACGCTAAAGTGAGAGGAGTGCAGGATATTTGTAAAGCAGAAGTTGTCAGCCTTTGGATATGCTTGAATTTTTACGTTGGCCTGCCATGTTGAATCCAGGAGTGACAATTCAGCACAGCAAGGAATGTGGTGACATGTAAATGTATCACTGTAGTGCCTCAGGGAAATAACCAATTGCCAGCATCAAAGAGCAAGGAAAGATACCTAGTGACAGGAGAATGTAAACTAATAATTCATTCCCTTTATAGAGAATCCAAACATGCTATTTTATTAAGCTGATGTGAGATACCTTCATCTTGAGAAGAATTTACTTGTCTACGCAAGTCTCGTTCTACCAAAGTGCTATTGCAAGAGTTGATATACCTGTGAATATCAGGCTGATGATTTGTGAAGGTCCCTGCTAGCGGTTGGAGAGCCAAGAGTTAGAGATATCTTTTATTATTTTTTATTTTTCTTTAGTTTTTGCACTGCAATCAGGCTATAGGAATCATAAATAAAAAATGTCGGAACTATTTAGTAACATTTTTCACAACCTCCTAGAGGACTAAGTTGAATTTATTAAAAAAAAAAAAGTTTTATCCAATTATTTAATGAAAGTGTGAGTCAGACATGCACATTAAAGAGAGAACTGAATTTGCTGTTCTTTAGATAAGGCAGGTGGACTCAGATTTCAGAAATATTTGGTTCCTGTAAAAATAGCTTTTTATGATTTCTTCTATCCGCCTGTCTGCTCTCTGAATCTTTAAATGAGTCTCCTTCATGTCCTACCTGCAGTATGGAAGAGTAAGGAAGTCTATATAAATAGTATTTGGTTTAAGGTCCCATTTTATTGCTGTTGAATGGTTTAACAGGTTTGTTTTGAAAGAAATTAAGTGTGTCACCTCAATCAAGGTCTTGAAATAAAGTCTATTTAAATGTCAGTTTTCCCATTGATTTCAGTTGACTTTGTCTACAATTCTAAAGACTTTCAGTCTGTAAATATTTAATCCAGCATGTAGCTGCAATAAAGTTTCTTTGTGTTAGGATTTGTTGTGATGATCACAAGGGAAGCAAGTCTTTCAGGGAGGGAGACGATATTTTTTTTATGACTAGTTGAGACATGCAGAAAACAATGACGTGTTTTTGAGCAAACCAAGCCTTTTTGAAAGTCATTAGCCTTCAACAAATTACAGGTTAGAAACAATTGTTCAGAGTCTAATTTATTACATTATCTGGGTAGTCAGATTGAGTGAATAGGACGGTTAGTACCTGCTGAGCAGAGGAGGATGTTTCAAGGTGGGAGGTGGTAAGGCTGTTAGTCCCTGTAGGAGAGCAAGAGAGATGGCTAATTATTGTCATAGGAGTTAGCAGGGAATAGGGAAAATGGGGGAGAATGTAATTTGCTATAAAGCCAAGGCTTAAGTGGCTTTTTTTTAAGGTCTTATTCCAATTACTAAGGCCCTGGGAACTGCCTGGTGCTTGGCTGCCCAGCATAACCAAAAGGGGCAAGCTGACCCCGTTACAGTCAAGAGCCTGGAGTATGTGCAGTTCATACCAGCCATTTAGGCTGGTGCTGTGCTATGACTGGAATTCAAAAGAGGAAAATCTAATGAAGAAAACTAATAAATAAAAAAAAAGCTGATAAGAATTGCTTTCTGTGCACTTTTCTATTTTAAAGTAGATGTGGCTCTGTTTTCATATGAACAATAATAATAATAATAATAATTAAAAATTTCCTTGCTGCTGTGTTTTATTCTAGGTAATAAAACTTAATAAGCTGTAGATCAGTTTACCTTGAACTGGAACAAAAATTGGGCTTGGATTGTGCTAATTTGCCAGTTTGATCTAAGACATCTATTTTAGCCACTTCTGGCAAGGTGAATTTCAAAGGCTGGCTTTATTCCTGCTTATTGTTCAAAGGAAGGAACATATTAAGTGATCTATGTTTTTTTGTTTGTTTGTTTCCTCTTGCGCTTTTTCGTTCCTTTTCCTGTCTCTTTGAGGGAAATGATGTACAATTTTTCCAAATTAGCTGTGTATTTGTTCCCATGTTTTGTCAGCAACTCTTAGCTATTGTACCATATAATGAAACAATATTGTACAGTTACTATGAGCATAAAAATGGTAAAGTCTTTTGTTCTACTTCTGGCCAGTGATATAGCCAGCTTAGAAGTCTGAGAGAAAGAATATCCAGAAATGTCTAGCCAAGCATCTCGTCCCTGATTCTGTCACAGTCACAATGTTTCAGTTTTTTCAAAGCTTTCTTTTTTGTTAAATGCCACTTTTTCCACGTAGGAACGTTATGCTAATGTGAACAAGTTAGTGTGATAAATAATTAGCGTTTTATTGACATATATGATTCCTAGTGTGAGTAAAGACAGGGCAGTTCTCTATGACGGGGGTGATTATCACAAGGATGTGTTAGTTTCAGTGAAACTTGGATCAGGAAAACTTTCAGATTTCCATCCTGAAATTTTGCTCAGAGAAAGAGAAACCCACCTCAGTATAGGAACATCGCTTGAAGTATGAACCCTTCTCTTGGGATGGACTAGTTACTCCCTCAGTGGACTAGTCCTGACTCAGGTAACACCGTGTGTCTTGGTGGTCCCACTTCCTGTCTTAAGACAGTTTGCAGCAGTACGTTAGTAGGTTGGAGCTGGTATCTCACTTTGATTTACTTTTCTTTCAGTGCTTAGCAATGTCTTGATTTGAGAAGGACTTGAAATTTACGTGGGTCTCCTGACATCTGTTCTGCTTGAGATAGTTAATTTAAAAACAGGATTCGAAGGGACCTCCTCAGTTCTCAAAATCCAATTGCTCAGAGTTGCATGACAATCTTTCATCTTTATCTTTTTAAAACTGCATCAGAAGTCACCTTTTTCCTCTGTTACTCTCTTTGAAAATTCGTCTGCAACCTCAGTCTCTTCACAGCTAGAAATAGTCCTCCAGTTTCCAAGCTGGAGATATTCTTGCCAGTTTACCCACATTTGTATCTCAGCCAAGCCTGTGATTTTAGTCTCCTTACCTGTAATACAAAATCTTCCTTTCTGATCCTCTGCAGAACACAAGACATCCTTTTTATTGAATAATGTTCATATAGTTGATTAATGAGGAAAGTAAGTGCCCATTTGATGCCCTAATCCACACGTAGAATGAGAGCTCAGAAATACTCATTTATTGTTCTTCCTGTTTAAGCCGTGATCTTGGACTGTATCCTTCGGTAGGCTAAATGTTAAGGATTTCAGTTAAGCTGTCAGTTTGAGTAATTTCCCAAGTATATATTACTTTTGGTTAGTATTCTATGAGAGCGCGGGGAATGTATAAGAAACTCGTCACCGCTTGCCCTGACTGTGGTGTTGCACCAGTCGTCTTCCTTCATTCAGCAGTGTGTAATATTGCACAAAGAAAGGCCAGAAAAGACTGAAAAGGTTCTTTAAAGTTGTACAGGTTTTACTGAAGTCCCGCGGAAGTCACTGGAAAGACTCCAGTCAGTTTTGGATGAGGCTTATGGCTCAGAGGATCTTCTGTGTAATCCACTTTTATCCTCATCACTTAGCAACTGTGTTCTTCTATTCTCTTTTTAATAGGAAATGCTCTGATTCTTCCTTAAAAAAAGCTGTAACGTGCTGTCACCTGTTCATTCAAGATCTTGCTTGAACAAGAACCACCTCTGCAGCTGTATCCCACCTGCAGAAATCTGGGATGATTACAGTCTTGTCTTGAGACAAGTGTCATAGCAGCCAGTAAACAAATTGTGAATATCTGTATTGCATTTCTAGGTTCAGAAGGTTCCTCTTGTAAGAACAATAAAAACTCTTTTGGAAAGATTTCATTGCTTATTAGAGGATTCATTGATCAGTTTGGATATTCTGGGCTTGATGGAATTCTCAAATGCCACATGATAGCTGGAGTTTCCAGTACCTGGGTAGAGCAGAGGATCTCCTTTATTTTCTCTAGGGATTAGGCTCTTCTTATCCTGTTTCCTAGCCAATGAGCTTTTACTTTTCAGTTACACTGGGTTGAATTATAAAATCAAGTGTCTGCCAGAAGTCTTGCAGGTACCCTGCAGAGTTCCAGAACCGCTGCCGGTTAAAGCAAAATGCTCCTGATCAGATGCAGCTTTAGGGGGAACTGTTCACTTTTCTGACTAGGACCTGATGGAATAATTTGTCTGAGAATAACATTCAGGACAAATTTAACAGGTTTTGTAATGGGAAGCTATCCCGCTTCAGTGGATGAACATTCTTCAAAGTTACAGTTGTGTATTTATTTTTCAAATTTTCATGTTACTGTCTCTAGGAAAGTAGATAGCGTTGGTCAGTGCAAAGACATCAGCAGCTATTGGTGGAGTATTAAGTACATCATCTGGTTTTGCTCTGGAATCCTGCTTTAGGAAGGTGTTTCCCTCTTAAATGAGTCAGTTGAACTGATTTAAATTCCCATGGCATCAACTGATTTACGTAACGTTTTTTTCCCAATTGTCCTGGCTAGTTTTTAGCTCTAAGTAAAATCAATTGTTGCCCCTTTATATCACAGAGGTCTCAATTCTTGAATAAGAGTAACAAAAATAACTTTTTAAAAGACCAACCCCCACCTCACCACCCCCCTGCCAAAGGCAAACAAGCCTCTTTTCTGTCCCCTAAATGTACCTTTAATCCTATGTACACAGAATATTGCAGCACTGCCTTTATGCATTCCCACCCTTTTTTTCTCTTGTGGCAGGTGGGATCACACCTGCTCTCCATCAGTTTAGTCAATGGAGAAGCTATAGAGCCTGAAGTTCTTGCCTGGTAAGCGTGAGAGGAGAAGCATAGGTCCTGCCTATATGTCCTAGCATTGGCCATGGGTTCAATGAGCACTCTTTGCCATTTCTGTCCTAGTACAAGACTGCTGTGCAGATCCCAAATGGCATGAGTTACTAGCTAGTATGAATGACTAGAGAGCGTTGCAGAGTTTTTCAAGAGGTCACAGCAATCTATGAGTTTAGGACTAGTTGCAAGTGTTGAGAACCTCATATCAAAATGAGACAGAAGTTTGGCCTTATATTTGGGCCCATGTATATGCATCAGGGATACTTTGCTATGGTGCTGCTGCAAACAGTTGAAACAATATTGACTACACGAGGTCTTTACTGTCTTATTTTAAGGTTATCTGAAAGTTTGTTGTGCCTTGCAAACACTTTTCTTCACCTTAGCATTCACCTTCTCTGGCACTGTTAAGTCGGTCTAGGCATAGTTTGTTATGCTGGTAGGTAAAAATCTGCAAAAAGCTTGAGACAAAAATCCTGTCCAAATGTGTTACAACCTCCCACTGCCAGTGAAGCAAATTAGGTACTTGAGAGCAGACTCAGATAACGTTTGAACTTTCCTCCAAGCTCCGATGTTAAGCATTTATAAGATATGTAAATGTCTTACTGCTTTGTGTGGAGTTACTTGAATCATTGTAAATGTCTAAAATTCCAAAGAAGATTTGTCATCAGCATTTTAAATGGTTAAACCTTTAAAAAGCGCTAGAGAAAGTTAACTATATTTGTGTATATCACTGCAGTTGACTGTCTTTGTGTAACTTGATGAATTGGATTGAAAATTGAGGTGGAAACGTAACAACAATGATAACAAAAAAGCACCTCTTATGCAGACAAAACCCAGCAGGTAGTAGAAACATTTTAAAGTTTGAGAGCAAATTTCCATTCTACTTCCCACCTGACTAATGTTCAGATGAGTTTGGATAAACTTTAGATTATATCTCAAAACTCATTCTAACATGGTGTACCCATGGACACCTTTTGCCATTGCTAAATCTGGTATGTAGCCTTCCGCATCTAGCAGGGCAGGGAATACGTAAATAGCTTGATATAGACATATACCTATCAAGGGTTCTTTAATCCAGTGATAACTCGGTCTCTTTCCAGCATTTTGTTTATTTTCCGTTTTATAATAAAGACTAGAAAGACATTTGAAAGTGATAGAGAATAGTTCCATCAGCTGTCTGAGATTTCCGAAAGAAATTCCCCAAGTACTATGCGACTTACTACACATCCGTCAAGTGCTGTTCATTATAATTATCTTGTTAAAGCGAGGTGCCAGCTCTGATGAGAAGCGGTTCCATGGAGAAAGCCTCTTACTCCGATGTTTTTATCAGATTCCAGTTGGTATTTTACAAAGCATCCTAGTTCAAAGCAAGCTGGCTGCAGCAATCTCTTGGAGCGGCTTTGAAAAATGTGTCTCCTTAAATGTGTCCAGGCTTTATATATTGTTAAGGTTTTATTACATGGCTTGAATGACCTGGTTGGGTAATCTACAATGGCTGAACAAAACGGTGGAGTGGTTTATTCTACAAACTACAGTGATACATGCTGGTACAGATTCTGCTGACTGCTTTGAGTAAGTGTGCTGCTCTTCTGGGCAAATAGCACTGTTGATTTCAGGGCGGGATGACTGAGGTAATCCAACTAAGTTTGGCAATGAAATGGTGTTGGATTTCACCATGTTTTCCGTGTATGTAATGCTTTAATAATTCCTCAAAATGTCCCTTGGAAATCATGAAACCTAGCGCTGGCCAGGAAGTATCACTATTGCTTCATCCCACTACAGGTACTATATTCAAGTGACTTTTTCTTTGAGTTTTCTTATGAATTTTGAAATAATTTCAGAATAATTATTTTTAATTATTTCTATTGTTATTATTAAGTGGATTTTCGTTATTTGGAGTAGCACAGGGCTGTGTCACTCTGAGAAAAAGAAAACATAAACCAGTACTGCTACTGCAAGTTGCATATTGGATATTTGAAATAAACCCAGGAAATCTGCCTCATGTTTCACCCCATGTAGTAGATTTAAGTAGATGATGGAGTTTTTACTTTTAAGGTTATGTAGCTTTGGTGTAAGCAGCCAAAAAAGTACTGTCACTAATGGCTGCATTTTGATTTATATTTAAAATAAATCTAATTTGGTTGAATCCCTGTGCCTTGGAGGGTGCTTTGTTTTTTCACTTGCAGCTTGCCTTGTTCACATCCCTGTAGTTAGTCCCATCAGTGCAGAGCCAATGCAGGACATTTGTGTCTCATCCCACAGCACAGGAAGGTTCAAGTGGACTTGCTAGGGCCTTCGGTGCGAGCTCCTGGAGTCAGCATAGAATTTCATTTTACTGACATAAAGCTAAACTTGAGCTTGAAATTGGAGGTGCTGGGAAGCACGAAGCAGGTGTGGCCATGTGGAGATGGTCTGTCTGGGCTACCAAATGAGCCCTTCTGCACCCAGGCATGGTCTTGATATGGGACATTTTTAAATGTATGTTTAGATCCTTGTAAGAATTGAGGCTTTGATTTTTAAACCCCTCCCACAGACTTAGGGTTAAAGTAAAATTTTGAAGTCAGATATGTTTTCTCAGAATGGAAAGATACGTTTCCTGATGAGTTCCAAACATTTGTGTCTGAATAACAATACCTATTTCGGCTGTGAGAGTCATTAGAAATCCAGTGATCTTATTTAACTATGTATGTTTTGGGATGACTGAAAAAAAAAAAAAGTCATGTTTTTTATGTTTGATTTTTATTATTTGCAGGGGAACGTGACCTTTTCCTGCTCAGAACCACAAATTGTTCCTATCACCTTTCTCAGCACCAGTCGAAGCTACTTGCTGCTACCTGGCACTCCTCAAATTGATGGTTTGTCAGTCAGCTTCCAGTTTCGAACATGGAATAAAGATGGCTTACTTCTGTTCACCGAATTATCTGAAAATTCAGGACCTCTCTTGGTTTACCTTTATAGTGGGAGATTGACGCTACTTATTCAGAAAGAGACAGAGAACCCAGTGGAAATCAGTGAAGGTACCTTAATTTTGTTTGCTCTCATCTGTCCCCCTTTGAAATACAAAGGTCCAACCTCACAGAATGAAAGGATGGTGAAATAAGGAAGCACCCAATCTTCCTTTCTCTTGTCAAATTTTCTGTAGCTTTCCAGTGGTAGATCCATTCTGTGCAGCTTGAGGTAGGTCTAAGCATGGAAAGTTGGCATCCTGAGATCTCCATCCAGTGTACCCAACAATTAGCTCATAAACAGTCATGGTGAATTTTCTTCAGTCAAGTCACATGAAGACCTTCTTCCTTCCTATGCTCAGATTGTGCTGAAGACATCTGGGAGCCAGCTGAGCCACTGCACCATTCCCCAGCACAGGTGAAGGCAGCCTCAGAGATGATTTTCTTCTGACTTGTAGGTTTACACTCTCCCTTTGCGCTACACTCAGAAGAGAGACTGACCACGGGCTTCCTCTCCTCATGCTCCTTGATCAGCCTCCTTAGCCAGTTCTCAAGTTAGTTTGTGCAGCTGGCGGGATGCAAGAGGGTGAAATGGAGTTGCCTCTCACACCTAAAATTCAGAGGAAATTGCTTGTAAACATTTACTGGCACAGCTATGCATTGGCTCCCTAGGGAAACAATTTTAGACTGTACAACAGAGGCAGGACCAGAGTGGCCCAGCTGCCATCCCAGTGTGACCTACATAAGCTGTGTTGGCATCCCAAACATAAATGTTCTTAGCCCAGGACCTCTGCACATCCCTTGCTGCTTTGCAGCCATGCTGGGCGGGAGCCTGGGAAATTCGTTTTCTGCGTAGGTTAAATACCCAGTTTCCAAAGGTGAATGAGTAATAGACTGATGGAACTCACATGGAACTAAATAATACTAGTAGTATTTTCTAAAAAAGCAGCTGTTAAAAAATATGTAGTATTAAAATATTCTCAGTACAGACTAAAAGAGGGCATATGTGTCTATTAAAAGAAGCAGAGATAAAATCTGACAGTTGTCAAAGCAGAGCTGTTCTGTATGCATGTTTCATTCCCCTTTATGATAGAAAAATTAGAAAGTGAGGCAACCCTGCATCTATCCTTATTCATGTAGATTGCTACAGCCTTAGCTTGTTAAGACTGAACACAGAAAACTGAGTTTCCAGCCCTTATTGCTGTCCTAATTAAATTGTTGACAAAGCTGAGGCAATGTCAATATTTGGTTGAGTGTATTTGTTTTTGTGTAGTTCTGAAATCATGAACCTGAGCCCAGCCTTTGATGCTATCCAAAACATTGCTAAACTGCCTACTTACACATGGAAAATATGCAGAAATTGCAAGTGCCATGTTCTGCAGATGTCAGGTACTCACAATAAACTCACGCTTGCTCAAGAATGGACCTATTTTTGCCCCAGATGGGACCTATTTTGTTTAGACATATTTTCAGACTTTAACAACATACTTCACTTCAAAATGGACTCATTCTAGGTGAAAAATCATCCATTTTTTCTGGAAAACCAGCCTCTTATTCTATGGAAATTATGTATGTGTTAACAGCTGTTACTGTGGAAATTGTCTCATTTTCAAATTCATAATGAAATGGCTTTTCATACACATCACACCCACAATTTTTTTTATGTTGTTTAGAACTGTTCTCACACCTTTTTGTGTCACTAAGTGCTCATTTGTTTCTTCTGAAAGCTACATTAACAAAAAATATTCCATTAGGGAGGGGAGGAAATACTAGTTGTATGTGCCTGATCTCAGTGACTCCAGCTTGACAGTAGCATATTTTGAACTGTAATTAGATTACTTTTGATCTGCACCACTGTGTGTGAGCTCAGAAGCTTGCCCACCGATTTTCATGGCTGTCAGAACAGAGGATGTGGAGTTTCTTTGTAGCTGTGTGGTGCTATTTCAAGAGCCGTGAGATGCAACGCTGATTTTCAGACTAAGGAATCAGAGAGGTTATTTCCCACCTTGCACAAGTGTCTAGAAGAGAAAGAGGCTACATAGTACCATAATCTTTCACGTACCTTCCTAGGTTCCTGGTCAGAGCAGCAATCCCAGTTCTCACAAGACCCATGTCGAAATACAATATAGAAAGGCTTCGGTACATCCATCAGTAAGCCTCTGTGCTAACTCAGTGCTGAAGGGTTTTAAGAAACACAAATCCTACTGATACCTACTGGAGTTTGTCAGGTTTCGTACTGGAGCCTGAGACAGGGTATGACCATCTCACTGAATCTAATCCTCTGCAATCTCAGGTGTGTGTTTAGTACCAGAAGCTCAACCGATATCTTCTCTGCATGTTCCTGTGAGCTATAAGCTTTTCCCAGTAGACTGAAGATGATGGGGATAAACAGCCACAAAATGGTAATAATATGCTACCAGAAAGGTGAAGGGCCTGGCTAGCTTGGTGAGCGCCTGCAGTACCAGAAGCAGGTTAGATTAAAATATGAGATGACCTACTCAAAAGCTTTCCCTTTCTTGGGCCTTTTCTTCTATGCCAGTTCATTTCCAAAGGTATGAAGTTGTTTTCAGCTTCCAGTTCTCCCTTTTTTGAGGTCAGCTGCACATTTGTGGTCACAAATTGGAAGCACAAGGAGGTTTGAAGAGCACAGTTCTCCCGCACCTCTTTTTTTCACTCTCCATACATCTTTTTTGCCAGGCATCAATCTCCACGATGGGCTTTGGCATTCTGTTAACATCAATGCCAGAAGACATCGCATTACCCTGACACTGGATAACAACGCTGCTACTGCTAGCCATGCAACCACAGTCTCAAGGATCTACTCTGGGAACAGCTACTATTTTGGAGGTAGGTTGTTTCAGATGAATGCAGGACAGATTTTCGTGATGCAGATCCTCAGGTGCTTACCATTGAGGTCTCCCCAGGTGCACTCTGCAGCTAAGAGCAAATGTAATAACTGATTTTAGACCCACTGTTGAGCTACAGTGCATACAGCACTGTGGGAAGATTGAAGGGTCTTGGTCAACTCTGACAGAGAGAGAATGAGCAGAACTGCTGACACAGCTGTAAAAGTGTCCTGCTGGTCCTGCCAATGACTACCTACATCTAGCTGGCAAAACGTGCAAAACCTACCTAGCTGTGTTAGCCACAAGTGGTTTTTTATATTTAAATGGCCTGAGGACTATTAGTATTATTAATATTCCTGTAGATATCACTGTCCTGATCAGATGCAGTGACTTTGGACTTCAGAACTTAATTGACATATGACTCAGACCTACAAAGATATTTAGATACCGTGCTCTCATGGAAACAAATGTAGGCTTAGCTCAGTCTTGAAATGAAAAGAACAGTCTTGAAAAATACTACCTTCTGCAGTTTGGAGTGCAAGTATTAATTTAGATAAAGGAAGTGTCATCAACTGTCTTTTTATCTAATATATTTCTGTGAGGTGCTTACCATAGTGAGGCTCTGATCTCGATGAACCCTTTGGATACAGCACTAAGTAAGGATGCACAGGAGGCTTTGGATCTCAGAGCTAGCCAAATACTGAGGAAGCTCAGATACATATGGTTTTCTTGCTTGCTGTCCACAGGATTTCATCCTTTTGCTCTGTGCCTTGCCACAGCAGCTGAATTTAACCCATAATGATTTTACAATTTGTATGTTTGTATGGCTTTTTTTATGGGAGTCAGTTGCTATCAACCGTGGAGTTTAAAGAAGATGGAAAAAACCCCACATTTTGATTTTGCTTAGCGCATGTGTAAACTTCATATTTTGATACATCCAGTGGCAGCACTTGTTTTTTTTTCTCTTTTTTTTTCTCTTTTCTTTCTTACTGAAGTATTTATAACACAGAAGGTTGCATAGCACAAGGAATGAAAACACTTGGAATAATGAGCCTCTGAGTTCTAGCATCAGGAAATCCCAGCAGAAATAGATGAACATTCCAGTATTCTTCTTTGCCTCTTCTCTTTTTCCCACAGGGTGTCCTGACAATTTCACCGATTCCCAATGTTTAAATCCCATTACTGCTTTTCAAGGCTGTATGAGGCTCATCTTTATTGATAACCAGCCCAAGGACCTCATTTTAGTTCAGCAAGGCTCCCTGGGGAATTTTAGTGATTTACACATTGATCTGTGTGGCATCAAAGACAGGTAATTATTGTTTCCTCTTTCTTGTATTTGTTCTTTTTTTCATCCTAGTGGTTTGTAAATACAGGTTGCATCAAGTGAAAATTCTAATCTGCCAACATTACGGATATTAGGTGTAATAGAGCTACTAATAGAAAATATTACAGCAAAGATAGGAGGACTGGAGGGGAAATGGTTTCAATTACATAAGACTCTCTTCACATTGACTTGTAGGAAATAGAGTATGCAAATTCAATCAAACTACAGATTGGTGAAAGGATTAAATTTTATGCATAAACAACATTTGATTGCTTTGAAGTTTTAGAGGGAAATGAAAGAGAAGGAAAAAATTATTTGATTCATCAGAACATGTCATCCCCTTAACATATTAGCTGGTTTTGCTTAAGCAGATCATTTATAATTTTTCCTGTTAGCCGTTACAGCACAGCACGTTTATCATGAAGATATGGTACACCTCATGCAACATACTGCCCATTCAGTAGGACAATATAATGATGAAATGTCTATATATACCAGAGACACATTTCAGTTTAAATACTGATCTGTATCCCTCCTAAGCTAAAACCTCACAGGAAACCCTGATTTTCTCATAAAGAGTAGAGAAGAAATAAGCAACCAATTTTTTTGGAAAGTATTTCATAACTTCTCCTTTGCTTCCTATGGATTTTTAGTGTCTAAATGTTTCTGAATTATTTCCAGAAATGTGTACTTTGAAGTTAGTACATGCAATAATAGGCTCTGATTTTAGTTTTTTTTTTTTTAAATCTAGCTAAGTTCTGAAAAATGGAAACGGAACTGCTGGAAATTTCATGTGCTTTGAATAGTTAAGGGAATCATAAGGATATTTTGGAAATGTGTTAGGAGTTTAAGGGTTTAACTTAATTTTTTCAGACATGTTACTTAGAGAGGTAGAGCTGAAGGCCAATTTCTATTACTGTTTACTGTAGGAGAGATTAGCCTCCTGGAGCTCAAATCTTTTGAAAAGTGGGCAAAACCTCTGTTCTGCAAGACCTGTGTACTCATCTTTGTATGTTCATGTTTGTTAACTTGTACGGAGAAAATACTGACTCTGTTGACCAAATCTATTTCCATGTTTAATGATGACTGAATTCAGGGGGATATAAATTTCATGCTTGGTGTACCTGAAATGGTGGACAGAATTGATAAAATGCAGCCAATTTAATAAAAGGGAGCAAAATGTAAACTTTCCTGAGAATTAAGAGAAAGGAAATATTTTGTTGTTTTCTTGGAAAAACAGATTATTTAAGATTTAAGTGGACTGTTCAAAGGCAACTCGTATATTGAAACAGAAGAGAACTCTTTTGTTATGATGCAGGGGTACTGTGGGACGTGTCCAGTGCCTTCATTGTCGTCAAGTCCAGGCTACAATGTACATCTGTGGTACTTCTGCAAGTGTCTTCCTCATCTTCAGTATCCTAAGGGTGACAAGCATCAGTCTGTGATCATACCATACAATTATTTAGAACAAGGATCCAAACATAATAAGAATGTGGTGCTTTACATAATCATTGCCTTGAATATATCACACACATAAACAAAAGTTATACATGATCTAGTGAAGATTAAAGCACTTTCTTCCAATGCAGTTCTCTGGATAGCATTAAATTTATGCATCTGTACTACATAAGCTAGGTAGATCTATAGTAGTTATGATCATATAGTAGATATGATCACAAAACCAAGATGGACTAAAAAAAGAAGGTAAAAAATATTTGATTTACGATTGGCAAAAGTGATTCTCTTATGAGGTTTGGTGTATCGGTGAAGGTACCCTGAAGGGGAGGAGAGAAGCCTGCCATGTGGGAAAGTGTTGAGCTGAAGTTCAGAAATTCCCCTCATCACAGAAGAGCGTGAGCCTCACCAGCACTGTGGAGACGGCAGTTTTCTCGTTCAGTGAACCACCCTGCGTTCTCTCCCTGTCTGGCAACTCCAATAACTGTGCTTGAAGCTGTTTTGCAGGAAAGAAGGAAGGACTAACCCCCCTCCCCTTGCAATGAAAGTGTGCTGGTGCAGTGCTGAAGTCAATAGTGATCCCCAGGAAGGGACAGCTGGAAAGACAGAAGACATTCAAAGAAAATAAATAAGAAAAATACAGACAAGAGGCAAATCTTTTGTGTTATTTTGCTAACACAATTTATCCTAAGCCAGTGGATGAGCTGGGAAAAGACTGAACAAGAAAGTGTGTTCCTCCTAGCCAGTTTTGAAAATTTAAGGTTCCACAAGCCTGTATTATGGCATCATTGCTTACAACAAACTAGATGGAAAGGTTTGTGAGAATAAGAAATTTTAATTCAAATCTAAAGACTGTATTGCTGTCTGGTCTGCATGATGTACCCTTGAGTATGTTTTCAAATCTTCTTCAAATTGGTTCACTGCACAAAATATCTGACACATCCAGTCACAATAATTCAACTAGTCACCATGGTTCAACTAGTGCTCTGTATTGCAGCAGCTCTGGAGTATAGCAAAGTGTGGGTCTGGCTCCAGGTGTGCAATATCCAGCTGCTCAATCGCTCTATAGAAGGAGTGTTAAAACTCCTTAAAAAGCATCTTCTCTGAGAATTGTTATTTCCCTTTTCTTAATTATGAGATTTATTTCTGTGTGCACTGTAAAGCACGTGTTTTTATAATTTTAACGCATGTGGGAATTGTGTAGCTAAATTAACATGTAAATGGGACATTTGTCTTAGTTATCTAAGCAAAAAACCTCTTTTGAGGAATATGCTTCTATTTAGAAAGCAGTTCATTTGTTACAGGCTTGTAGGCCAAGCTCGTTCAGGCCTGGGCCATGAAAGCAGTGGTTAGGCAGCTCACTGCAACTTGTGGCAGCTCTTAAAAAAACAATTAATGACTTTGGTTTGAACGATGATAAACTGGGACTGCTATTGATGGCAGCAGTATGTTTTTGAGAGAGAATCTAGTTGTGTAAGCATATTATACACACACACACCAGGATTCTCTGTATAAAGTGATGAGCCTCCATTCATTTACATGGAGACATCTGAGGGACTAAGCCTTAATATCTCATCATCTCTCATCTCTAGTATTTAAACTATATGTGTGCTCAAGTGAACTTGGCATGAATGCCTTCTGTGTCCCTGCATTTGTTGTTTCCATTCTTCAGTAAATATTTCTCAGGAAGTAAATGCCCTGTCACTAGCTGAGCTATCAGAGAGTACTCACAAAAAAGGGGCATGTCCATAGAAATATACAGTTTTGCCTTCTTTTCATTCGGTGGCTTGGGAGGCAGTGCCAAGTGAAGATGCTTTTGGAAACATAAGTGAACTTGACTCTGTTGCTGACCTGACTTTGAGCAGGGAGCTTTTGGTAGAGACCTCCAGAGTCTCCCTGCACCCTCAGCAATCCTGTGAACAAGACCACCTAGTAGTTGCTCTAGTCCTGGCTGAGTGGGCAGTTCAGGATATATCTGCGAGAGCTAAGACTGACAGATAACATACAGAAAACTCATGTCTTCAGTGCTTTCAGTAGGATGTTAAAACGTTGTACAGTCTGGAGTTGAACACAACATGGACTGTTCCGATGATGGAACAAGGCTAGTTAGCACCATCTCCTACTGAGAGACTTCTTTCCATCTCTCAGCTGCAGTGCCAGCATCACTAATGTTCCTATTGCTGCATATCAAATCATCTCCGTTTTGCCATCTCCTTGTATGGTACCAACATGTTGTCATTAGGTGACACATCCTGTGCAAGGAGAGGCATCCCCAATCTATTCATCTCAGAGCTGTGTCTGCTCCACAAGCCCTGCAGAGTAGTGCCCTATTCCCTTCTTCACCTCCTTCAAGACAAAGCTGTTTCTGAAGACTATTCCCAATGCCTTGTGGAACAAGAAAGTAGAATCCGTAGGAGGAAGCAATTTTTCTTGTAGCAATGCGTGTGTAGGACTCTTGACATTCCCACTGCCTGCTTACTGTTAATCCAGCTAACTATTTTTTTCTTTTATTCCTAATATGTATATTTGCTGTGGTTGTCCAAATACACAGATTGTTCAGTCTTTTCTGAGGATGTTGCAAAGTGTGGTGATTACACTGCTGCCCTTATGAAGTGTTAAGAGTTCATAGCTGCCTGCAATGCATTTATCCCTATTCCAGTGACGGGTAAAGAAAAAATGAGACAATATGCTGCTAAGCCATAGAGGTCTGCTCCATATTTAAAAGGAAGTGGATTTAATTTTATCCCTCATAGTCATTGCCTTTTCAAGATTCCTGCTTGGTTAGGAGTGCAGGTACACATCGGGGGTTGTTTCCTTTACACTGAATTAGTAAGTCAGAAAATACATTTTCTTGCATCATGCTGGCATTTCCCCTCTATGACACGGTACACAGCAGAAAGAAACACAGCAGATATTTCTGGAAGTGAAGGTGCTGTGAAGTCCTTGAATTCAGGGACTTGTTGGAGGGAAAAGAGATATCTTTGAGTATCTATGTCGTCTTTTGCAGCAGTACGGGTACTACGTTGACCATCTCTGACCAAAAGCCATCTGGCACAGGCCCAAACAAATAAATGCAGACTCTCTTTGAATTTATTTTCAGTTCAAGATGATATAGATTAAGTTTGGCTACAGGGATCGTACAGCGCTCACTCCTGGTGATTTGCACTGTGGTTTTGGGAAGGGAGGCATCTTCTGGGAGTGACGTATTACACCTAAAAGCTTCCAGGGGAGAACCTAAGCAGTAAGAAAGTCTAGTGACAACAGAATAATGCTTTCTGTCTTTGGCCCTTAATCTGTAGGGAGGACGTCAGTGTCAAGGAATGGGGAGGTGGCAAACGGCATTAAAAAGTCAGTTGCTTCTCATAGATGCTGCAATTCAGATGGGATTCACTTCCCTTTCCTTGAGGTTCGCCAAGTTCCTAGTTTAAAGTGTATGGTACCTTCACCTGCAGGGATTGCGTTAGGGGCTTTAGAAATACAAGCTGGAAAGACTTTCCTAAGTACTTCTAGTTTAGAAAAAAAAACCCCAC